GCCCCCCCCCCCATCCCCCCCACTGGGAGTGCCTGGCAGCTTGGGGACTTCATTAGCAGCTGGAGAAAGTGCTGGACCCAGCCATGTGTCAGCTGCATGTGGGCATGCAATCTGTTAGGCCATGCTCTTTACGGGCTGGCACAGCCGTGGATGAAAAGCTACTGCTGCACTTCCCCCCAGGGAAGGCATCCCCCCAGCCACTCTCTACAGCATGGATGTGGGAGTCTGCGCTGGGGTGGGTCCCCTGTCTCCATCAGCCCAGCAGTGCCAGTCAGTGCAGCTCAGGCCTCCCAGTCAGCAGCCCCTCAGAGCTGGCAGACCAGGAGACTGCATTGTTCGTCAGGGGTGGATTAACACATGGGCCCACAGGGCCTGGGCCCAGGGGCCCCTGACAATCAGGGGCCCCCTGGGGTTAGGGGACACAGCAGGGACCCACCACACTCCCTAGCCTGCAGGGGAAAGTCAAATGCATGAGAGCTAGTGGAAGGTGGTGGCTGGGAACTTGTCTGACCGCTCCATGGGGACAGCCAGGGTAAGGTGGCAGCAAGGATCCCCGCCACCCCTGCCACTCGCTGCTCTCTCTCTCTCCTGTGCCTAGAAGGAACCTTATCCTGCCCTCCCTCTCAAGTGTCAGGTTGCAGGGCAGGCAGGCAGCTCAGGACAGGCTGTTGTGCCACTTAAAGCAAATGCATAGTGTGTGTGTGTGTGTGCGCGCACACACGCTTGGCGGGGGTGCAACCCCAAACTGACCCACAAACCACACAGCATGCAGTGCTTTAGTCCTGCTGCCAAGGGCTGCTTCGGGGCACGGAGAAGGGGAATCCTGCTGCCCCTGGGATTTCTGCAGTTCTTGACCCCAAATAAGATAACTAACAAATTGCCCATCAAAAATGATAGGGTAGGGACAAAGGCCTGCATTGCCCTCCACGCTGCATTGGGTCAGGGTCTGGCTTCCCCCCCTCCTCCACTGCCTTGGGTCTGGGCCTGCTTCCTCCCTTCCCTGCCTGCCGCTTCAGGCCCACGCTCATTCCCCCAGCTCCCAATCCCCCCGCCACTTTGGGTATGAGCCCGCTCCCCGCTTCCCCCACATTGTTTTGGGTCTGGTTCCCCCCTGATGCTTTGGGTGCAGGCCTATACCCTCCCACCCCCTGCCATTCAACCCCTCACTGCCACCTCCCAGGAAGAGGGGGGGAGCTTGCATGCAATGGTGGTGAGTGGTGTGGCAGTGTCCACGCTCTGCTACCAGTAAACCCCCCTCCCTTTCCCACTCCTTTCCCCCTCTTTTCCCTGCTGCCTCCCCCTCCCCTCCAGCTGTTGTTGGGTGGGCAGACCCCCACTCCAGCCCCAGACTCCAAGGAGCAGGGCCCACTTTGGCCCCTCCAGCCCTTCAGCCCCTGCTGCCATGGCGGCGCTCCACCGTGCGGGGG